GTGACTATTGTGAAGGGTATCATTACCTAATTTCTTTCTCATAAAGGAGTTAAAACCATCTGATGGGAAAAAAAAAGACAGCATTTTCAACAAATGGTACTGGTTCAACTGGCTGTCAACAAGTAGAAGAATGCAAATTGATCCATTCTTATCTCCCTGTACAAAGCTCAAGTCCAAGTGGATCAAGGACAGCCACATAAAACCAGATACAGTGAAACTTATAGAAGAGAAAGTGGAGAAAAGTCTTGAGCACATGAGCACAGGGGAAAATTTCCTGAACAGAACACCAACAGCTTGTGCTCTAAGATTAAGAATCAACAAATGGGACCCCATAAAATTGCAAAGCTTCTGTTAGGCAAAAGACACAGTCAATAGGACAAATCAGCAACCAACAGATTGGGAAAAGATCTTAACCAATCCTACATTCAATAGAGGGCTAATATGCAATATATGCAAAGAACTCAAGAAGTTAAACTCTAGAGAACCAAATAATCCTACTTAAGAATGGGGAACAGAGCTAAACAGAGAAATCCTCAGTTGAGGAAACGTGAATGACTGAGAAGCACTTAAAGAAATGTTCAATATCCATAGTCATCAGGGAAATGGAAATCAAAACAACCCTGAGATTCCACCTCATACCAATTAGAATGGCTAAGATCAAAAGCTCAGGTGACAGCAGATGCTGGCGAGTTTGTGGAGAAAGAGGAACACTGCTCCATTGTTGGTGGAATTGCAAGCTGGTACAACCACTCTGGAAATCAGTCTATGGGTTCCTAAGAAAATTGGACATAGTACTACATGCGGACCCAGGTATATCACTCCTGGGCGTATACCCAGAAGATGCTCCAACATATAACAAGGACACATGCTCCACTATGTTCAAAGCAGAATATTTATAATAGCCAGAAGCTGGAAACAACCCAGATGTCCTTCAACAGAGGAATGGATTCAGAAAATGTTGTACATTCACACAATGGAGTACTGCTCAGCTATTAAAACCAATGACTTCATGAAATTCACAGGCAAATGGATGAAACTTGAAAATATCATCCTGAGTGAGGTAATCCAGTCACAAAAGAACACACATGGTATGTACTCACTGATAAGTGGATATTAGCCCTAAAGCTCGGGATACCCAAGATACAATTCACAGACCACATGAAGCTCAAGAAGGAAGACCAAAATGTGAATTCTTCAGTTCTTCCTAGAAGGAGAAACAAAATACTCATAGGAGGAAATATGGAGATAAAGTGTGGAACAGAGACAGAAGAAAAGGCCATCCAGACACTGCCCCACCTGGGGATCCATCCCATATACAGACACCAAATCTGGATGCTATTGTGGATGCTGAGAAGTGCTTGCTGACAGGAGCCTGATATAATTGTCTCCTGAGAGGCTCTGCTAGAGTCTGACAAATACAGAGGTGGATGTTTGCAGCCAAGTATTGGACTGAGTGCGGGGTCACCAATGGAGTTGTTGGAGAAGGGACTGAAGGAGCTGAGGGGGGGTGCATCCCTATGGGGGAAGCTACAGTTGCAACAGACCAGACTTCCTGGAGCTCCTGGGGACTGGATCACCAAACAAAGAGTACAGTTGGAGACACCCATGGCTTTGACAGCATATATGTCAGAGGATGGCCTCATTGGTCATAAGTGCGGGGAGCAGCCTTTGGGCCTGAGGGTGTTCAATGCCCCAGTGTTGGGAAATGCCAGGGCAGGAAGGCAAGAGTGGGAGGGTAGGTAGTGGAAAGGCAGGGGGAGGAGTGATGGGATAGGGGGTTCCAGAGGGGAGACCTGGAAAAGGAATAACAAACAATTGAAATGTAAATAAAGAAAATTTCCAATAAAAGAAAAAAAACTGTGCAAATAAAGAGGTACAAAGCTTTCTTTATCCCTGTGTGCTCTACAATATGAACTCATGAAGGAAGTCTCATTGTGAAGAAATTTGCTTCTGTTACTGATTTATGGGAACAAAAATGACTTTTATATGTTGGAGTTACAAATTTCAACTTATTAGACAAATTTTTGTAATTCTAGCAATTTACTTATAGTAATTTTATCTTATACTAGGAACAAGTTAGGCCATTTGCAAATAATATACAGTTATATTTTCTCTTTTCCAAATTTTATAGCTATTTTGCTACTGCACTAGTTAGCACTCTCATCGTGTCTTTTAATGTGATTGCTTAAACATCATATTTATTTAATGAATTTTAAATTTTTCATTATTTTGATAACGTTGTGTGTGTGTGTGTGTGTGTGTGTGTGTGTGTGTGTGTGTATGTGTGTGTCCAGAGGGAGGGACAGAAGAAGGAATCTCCTCTCCGAGAGTTTTCCATGGCACACATGTGGAGGTCAGAAGACAACTTGAGGAATACAGTTCTCTCCAACCAGGTGAGTCTGGAGATCAAACGTAGGTCTAGGACTGGAATCACTTTTACTGAACAATGTCACTGGCTTATGATACTTTGTCTTATATAGTCAATATTCATTAATATTTACCTACATTGCTCATTACTACTTTTTGTCTTCTGAGTTATATCCTGCATTCTTTTTTATCTGCAAGAAGCCATTTAACGTTTGTTTTGCCCTAGGCCCATTGGTAACAAATAATTTTTAGCTTATCTTCTTTCTCCTAACACTTCAGATCTCCATGGGCTCTGGCCCAGTACTTCAAGTAAAATAGGCAGGTACCTTACCACTGATCTCTCCTGGTGATCACACAAACACACACACACCTACACACATACACACACACACACACACACTTAAACAAACACACACACACAAACAAACACACCCAGCAACTGCAAAGCAACCCCCGAGGAACTTTGAAGTTTGCTTTTCCATTGTCTTTAGGCATTCATTCTTCATAAAAATTGAACTATCAGTCAGCCTTATTGTTAACTCTTAGAAAATTGTTATTTCTTTCACTCTGAGCAAGCCAAAGCAGTCATCTATGGAGGAAAATAATTATTTTATATAACTTTCAATACCAAACATAACCAATAGGTACAAAAAGGGGCAAAAACATAAACAAGAGACAATACAGAGGACATGGTGAGCATCCTCTCCCACACACTCTGTACCACCCCCTATTCCGCAAAGGTTTTCCTCTGCTCTGACTTTCAACATGGTTACTAAGTTGTACATGGAGATGACAAGGTTCTTCCCTCCTTCCCTCCTTCTCTCTCCCTCTCTCTTTCTGTTCCTCTATCTCTTCCTTCTCTCTCAACTTAGGCTTTTGAAACTATGATTTGAAATCTTTCACAACTTTTAGAAAATCCTCAGATGTTACTTCTTAACATTGCCTCTACTGTATTCTCTGCTTTTTCTGTGACTCTAGTGATGAGTATTCACACATGTAGGGTGTTCTAGCTGATATGTTTTCTCCTTGGCTAACCATTTGGATTCTCAGTACTTCATTTTAGTTCCCTGCTTTTCCCGAAAATCTGTTTTTATCCAACGTTGACTCAGGTCTTTCTTTTTTTGACTTTCAGTTGCATATCAGTATTTTCAGACCTCTATTTAATATATTAAATATCTAGTAAGCATAATTATTTAAAATAATTTTCTCACCATTCCATCTTTTATTGCTACTTGTTCTGCTTCTATTTGCTTCAATTTCTTTAAAGATTTGTTTCTATTCTTCTTTATGTTCAAAGATCTAGCTGTTTTTGATTAAATGCTGGAGATTATATATATGCCTGGTATAGAAGATTTATTCTATCTTCTTGCTAGTAATAAGAGCAGAATCTTGGATTATTTTAACCCAATTTTAGGGGTATATATCTGTGCTGAATTTAAAAAAGAAAAAAAAACCCTATTTTTAACTTTTACTGATTCTTTGTGAGTTTCACATCATGTATCCCAACCCTGCTGCCCAGACAAGTTTCAGAGATGCCCTCCGAAGTTCTACAGCAGGCAAGGGACAGGGCTACCTTATGGGTTCTCATGACCCTGGGGTCAGGTCTCCCAAATGCTACAAGTGAGAAGGGGCAAGAAGAGCAAGGGATCATGCCTGCACCACACCACCTCAAGCCAGATGAGTGGCAGAGCCGACTCTCCTCAGCTCCCTCCTTCAGGGCTAACTCACCTATTACCCTGCCACCAGGGTCAGCTCTACTGTGTTATCCTGGTAAAGAGCAAAGCCTGCTCTCCCTAGAGCTGTAGCTGGTAAGGGACAGGGCTAGCTGTCTTTAGCTTATGACCATGTGGGCAGATTCTCAGAGGAGGGGGTGCTGGCTGCATGTGGTGTATCACCTCTCTGCCTGTGCCATCCATCCTATGGCAGACAAGTGGCCCAACCAGCTTTTCCCTGCGTATACCCTCAGGGCTGGTTAACACACACCTCACTGCCAAATCAAGCTCCACTGTGCAGTCTGGTCAAGGAACAAGGCCTGCCTGCTGTCCAGAGAGCTGTGGCAAGTGAGAGATAAGACCAGCTTTCTGAAGGACTGCATCTAGCGTAGCTATGCACAGCCTCTGGACACCATCCACATGGTCTTGAGTGGATGCCTCAGCAATGGACATCCTCATGTTCTCTGGTAGAAAAATAAGCCACGAATATGAATACTAACCCCTGCCCTTGTCCAGCCATGGACTCAGACATGTCCCTTGGTGGCAGTTCGAGCTAGGACCTCACGATGGCTCCCAGTAGCAGAGCTGACCGCTCACAAGTGACTAAGCATACTCTTCTCCACCCTCGAGTCTCCAGTTCCATCTTTCTTCATAATGCTCAAACTGTTCCACTTCTCTTTCTCTCCCATCTGCCTGCCACATACTTGCTCCTTGTGGTGGTTTCTGTTGCATGCTGGTCAAGTAGCTGGCAGGCCCCTGAGTGACATCCTCCATCTATGGTGTGTGGTAATCAGGTATCTATGGCCTGCCTGTGTCATGCAATGAAGGTTAAATCTATGGGTAGCATGGTGGTCCACAGGTGTCTGCCTGTTTTCCTCCTCCGATGCTGCACTGCCTAGATAACTTGATTTGATTGAATTTTAATGAATCCTAGGTATAAGATAGCTTTGGCCATTAAGCTAAGTGTTAAGCTAGGATGAACAATGGACTGCCATCTGCTCTGCCCCTGACTGATACAAGAGCAACACCAACAACAAGGTGCCTCTTTGCCCATTGTCAGGGATGTTGTTGTTTCAGTTGAGAAAAATGTTGTCATCAGACTGACCTGTAAGCAAGTCTGTGAAGCATTTTCTTAACCCATGATTGTATGGGAGTGTTAAGCCTGCCCTGGGCAGCTAGTCCGAGTTGTACAAAAAAGCAGCCTGAGAAAGTCCCACGGAGCAATTCAGTTTCTACCTCCAGCTTCCTGCCTGGGCTTCTCTCAGTGACAGAATGAAACTTGAGACTTGTAAAAGGAAACAAACTCTTTTCTCCCTGAGTTGGTTTGGGACTGTGTTTTTATCTCAATAAGCAGAAACCTAAGATTATTTCTAAGAAGGTGCGGTTACGGTGGTGGTGCTGGTGGTGGTGGTGGTGGTGGTGGTGGTGGTGGTGGTGGTATGGTTTTTGTTCGTTTGTTTGTACCTTAAGGCATAGCCCTTTGGGGTTTCATCACAAAGTAAAGGCCTGCCTCACTTCACTTTTGAAGGATACCACCACCCCCACAAACTTCTCCTGCCCCTGCCTCTTTCTTTTTTTAAGCTCTATAGAGCTGTCAGATGTACGGCTAGATTTCAGGCTCTCAAACAGCTCTTCAAGATTCGATAGTTACCCCTAAAAAAGAAAAAAAATGCTCAGAGTAGCTTTGTGACTTCCTAGTTTTCCTCTGTCCTGGTTCTTGATGCCCTATGGCTTCAACCATTCTATCCGACTCTGTTACTGTGTTGCTTTCCACAGTGGGGGTTTTGTTCTGACTTAGGTAATTTGTCACCAACGCTACCATCTCTTTCACTCAGGCCCCTACATTCTCTTGCTCATTACTACTACTGATTGTATCTCCCCCCAAATATGTGACAGGAACTTAATCCAAATGACTCTGTTGAGAAGTGGGTCACAGCGACTCCACTCTCATGACCGAATTAACATTAATTATAAAAAGGTTAGAAGAGAAAGTATGATCCTGCCTTGCATGAGTGTGTGAGTGTGCTTTCCTGCCCTTCTGCCTTCTGCCTTCTGCCTTCTGCCTTCTGCCTTCTGCCTTC